TATTGGCACAACAATAAAAAATGGGCATATACTATTTCACTAGAGCCCTGAAAAAATGACTCCTTATAAAGTCAAAAACCCGCAGGAAAACCACCCTTTCTTGGATCACTCACTGCCACAAGCTCATTAGACTCCAGATCTTGAACCACAAATTGGCAAATTGTCCCACCTGCAACACTTTTTAGTACATGGCCTCTTTTCTTCAGGAAACTCCTTGTTTCCTCAGGAACTTCAAAGTGATCTCCGGTCACTACTTTCCAGTCTTCATAATTCACCACATTAGGGATCAGCTGCATTTGCATGAGCATTCAGTGTATGAGTAAAAATAAGCAACTACATTTGTAATAGACTGAGTCTCAAATTATAAGCATCTGAAGATGTATGAGAGATATCTTATTGTTTAATCATCAAGAATTTAATGAGTTTTGTTGCTGTTCAGCAAGAAGTCAAGCAAATTTGAAACAATTTCGAACATAAGCAAAAAAAATGTACTTAGGAAAAGAAGGGCTGAATGCAGAATTTTGCAACCGAATAATGAGTAATCACCTCATGATAAAACCTTGGAGCCATGACAGAAGCCAGAGGATCCATCCCATTAACAAAATAGTTCAAGAATACCTCTGCTGTTCCTGCAATTATCTTGGATCCTCCACTTGCACCTACAACAGCCTTCAACTTTCCTCCCTGTTTTTCGCATCATTCATGATAAAGGGCTCTAGTTTAGGTCCAATCATGTTGAGTCTTGGGAAGGGACGAGACAAGCCTTGGCATTGTAGTTTTTAAGTTGATCAAATGGAAAGGACTTGGTCGAATTACCTGGAGAACAATTGTAGGTGACATGGATGACAGAGGTCTTTTGCCTGGATGAACAAAGTTGGCCGGCGCTGGTGGAGGCTCATCTGTAGAAGCATTATCAGGCATGGAGAAGTCATCCATTTCATTGTTGAGGACTATGCCAGTAGATGGTGAAAGAAATTTAGCACCAAAGTATCCATTTATGGTATTAGTCATTGACACAGCATTTCTGTCAGTGTCCACAATTGACACATGGCTAGTTCCATGGTCATGGATTTGATTCCACCTAGTTGGGAGCAAGGATTCAGCAAGAGCAAAATTATGAGAATACAACTGTAAGCAACTTGCTAAAATGTAACAGTAACAGGTTGAAAAGGTTGATAATGATCATACTAACACATGCTTGAAAATCCAGACAGATCTTTAGTTGATAGAATCAAATTATGTGGGTAATTGATAAAGTTCTCTTAGATGGTTAAAACAGTGAGAGAGTGCAGGATCTGAAATTGTACAATTGGAGACTAGCTGCTTAATTACCTGCCACCATAATGAGGAGGGCTAAAGGTCATATTGTCATTGATGGTCTTCTGCAACTCTTGTGCAAATTCCATTGAGAGCATATCATTTAAGACATCTTTGATGTTAACGAAATCTGGATCTCCAAGGTTCATTCTCACGGCAAATGCATGCTTTAAAGCCTCAATCGTTCTGTGTGCCAAGAGGGGATTAGAGCTATTCACAGAACTTCCATATTGTGCTAGAATATTTAGTGTCTGACATCAAAATTTAACAGATTCAATGTCCAATGCAAATTTCAGAAGCATTATATTGAAAATGAAGCAAAAAAGTAAAGGTGATTTACTTACAAGAACCATTGCAGCACCTCCAGAAGAAGGAGGAGGCATTCCGAGTATTTCAACCCCCAGGATATTGGTAGAGATTGGTTCTCTGATCTTAACTTGGTAACGCTGCATGTCGTCCAGGCTGAGTATTCCTCCAGCGTCCTGGACATCTTTAACCAAGTCATATGCAATTGTCCCATTGCAGAAAGATTTCAATTCATCCTTTGAAACTTTGATCAGTGTGTCTGCTAGTTTTCGGTTGTAACATCTATCCCCTGGCTGCAAGAGGCTGCCATTCGATGTAAAAATCTCTCGAAGTCCTTTATCTGCCAGAATTTCTGATTCTGTTGCAACCATTTGCACGTGGAGATATGGTGAAATCCTGAATCCATGGCAAGCAAAATATGCTGCAGGCCTGACAAGCCTACTCCAAGGAAGCCTTCCATACTGCTTCCAAGCCTCGTGGAGACCTACCAATTCCCCTGGAACTGCTACAGAAAGCGCACCAGCAGCTTTAATCGTTTCATTTCCCGAGTACATATTCTGTACAAAAAGCAAAAGAAATGGGCTTAAGATCAGATAATTCTCTATCTTCTGGCTAGCCAAATTTTTCAAAGAGGAATAAATCATCAGGTCGATACATTGGACTTTTATGTACCTGGGAAGCTCTTTTTGGAGCGGTTTCTCTCATATCAAAAGCCTCAGCTTTCCCATCAGCTGATCGAACAATCAGAAATCCACCTCCACCAATGCCACTAGAGGCCGGGCTAACAACACCCAAGCAAAGGGCAGCAGCAACTGCTGCATCAACAGCATGACCTCCTTCGCGAAGAACATCTCTTCCAACTTTGGAGCATCGACCATCATCCGTGGCAACAACACCATGTTTTCCTCTTATCTGTTCCTTTCTCTTGGTTGTTGATGCCGTCTCGAGGCTTGAGCTCCAACTCAAAGGAGTCAGCAGCAAAAGCAACAGGGCTACAGATGCCAGCCATGGTGTGCATCTAGCTGAAAAATTCATGGGGGAGATGATCTCGCAAAAACTTCAAATGATGATCAAAATGCACATTTTTGGCCTAGCCATATTTCTCTAGCGCAAGTCAACTTCAGAGGAAAAATGCTGATAAGGCATCTTAACTGTAAACCATTAACTCTACTTTTGTTACATCCTTCCACTGGATTACAGGGAAATTTCCAGGAGCCATGTGTTTTCATGTGATCAACCAAACAGAACTTGTGGAAAAGGAAGAACAATACACAAATTTGATGTGGCACGGCTAAAAGTTGAGGCTGAGGACAGATTGCGGGATCGTAGAAAGTGGGAAGAGTTTATGACAACCTCAGTTGACCGTCTCTGTACCTCAACACGACTCTTTATGAATTGAACATTTGTGAAATTACCAATATAACCTAGTACCGAATAGAAGACGCGTCAATATGACCCAAGTGTGATATGGCAAAAGATAATTACCCTTTTCGTCCTTGACCTTTGTCTCTTGTTCTGATTTGGTCCTTGATATCTTTTATTTCACATCTAATACCTTGGGCACCGTTTGGATTGAAGGAAAGTAAAGGAAAGGAAATGAGAGCATTCCAGTGGAAAAGAACAGAAAGGAGAGTAGAAGAAATCGGAGTTCATTTATCTTGCTTGGCTTACGGAAGGAAAGGAAAAGAAACTATCATGCGTTGTTTACATTTTTATCTATAATTTAAAAATTCAATTTATGAATGCATAATATATTTTTTTAGCAAATTTTAAAATTGATTAATCTTAATGTCCTTTCCCTCAACTTCCACTTACTTTTGGATGGAAAGCAGACTAACAAAAAATAACTAAATCTTATCCCTCCCTTTCCCTCCCAATCCTTTCAATTCTTTTCTCAAAAACCAATCCAAACACCAAAAACCTTATCTTTCCCTTTCCTTTCCTCCCATTCCCTCAAAACAAACAGTGCCTAACGTATTGCGAATCTTCTTCTTCTTCTTCTTCTTCTTTTTTTGTGTTACTTACAATTTTGTAAAATGCTTATATTGCTACTTTTGGCACGTGTGCCTAATCCTGCCAATTGTTGCACACATATGAGGTGCAAAAGAATTTGAGGGAAATGAATGATTAATGAAGATATAATAGTTATAGAAGCAAAAGTTATAGTGCCATAAGAATGTGGTTTCCCTTATTGGACAGCACATCCCAATTTTGGAAAAAAAAGATAGAATAGATAATGCATTTTTACTGTGTCATATATCGACTGATCCTGTCAAGTGTGGAATCCTAAAATATGGTACGTACAAATATTAAAAAAAAAAAAAGGAAAAAAAAAGAGCACCCAATACGAGAAGATTTCAAAGCACTTTACTCACATGTTATGACCATTTTGCAAAACTGCAAAAGATATGATGCAAAACCTTTCTTGATGAGCAAAGTGGAAGAGACTTGCTTGATGGTGCAATTCTAACTTATGATGCTCAATTGTACATTTATAGAAGCAAGAAACTTGGGGGGCATTTGGTAGAATTGATGCGACAATTGGAAAAATAAAATCTCCAAATTGCATTATAGTCCAAAAAAAATAATTGCTGTTAGGTACCATATTTTGTCATGTAACCAGCAGCAAAATTAAAGATGAGAATTGCCAGATAGTTACCTAAATTATCAGCAAAGAAATGCGACTTTGTTTCTTTTTGAAGACTCTTGTATTTGTCCTTTCAACTTCAGATGTTATTTTCCTTCAATTTCATAATTCTTGGCCTGATTGCTGTCTCCTCTTGCTCAATCAAGCCATAAGAAATTCCCTTTCTGCCTTTTTGTGAGTTTAGCCATAAAAAATTCTTATCATGCTGTAGAAAAGAACACTAGAGGAGGCATAATATAGCAAACGACCTTTTATACTTGTCTTTTTGTGATATTAGTCTACATGTGCCCCTCAAGTAACATTAATTTGCTCTTTTTATTTATTTATTTTAAGGCAAGCAACTTGTAATATTTGCTATGCTTGCTTTTAAATCTATTGCTATTTTGGACAAATGGATTGTTGTTTTACGAGATTGGTATTCTTTTAAAAATTGTCATAGTTTAGGAATATCCAGAAATAGGTTCAGAAACATCTAGGGATCAGTTCCTCGGTGCAAAAGTCTTTCCAATGAAAGACTCTGGTCAAGCCTTTTCATGTAATTTTGACATCCATTCTTTTAACGCCATGTTTGTAAGTTCTTAGTTTTAAAATTTGCTCCTTAAAAAAAAAAAAAAAGAAAAGAAAGCTTTGTTGTGTGCAAGTTTGTGCATCACAACTCAAGTTGAATGAAAATATCAAGTGCATGAGCTAAGTCCAATGGAAAAAATGCAAAGTACAATTAATAATTGGATCAAGCAATTGGCTGAATGAGAAACTCGTCCAACCATCTGCAATCTGCTAAGTCTTTACTGTTGATTGTGAATCCCTTTACGTCAGAGTACTGGAATCCGCCGTCTGAAGAGTTTGGGACAGCAATTTTCGAAGATTTGAATGTACCTTTATCCTGAACATCCTTCATTATCCAGACCTCATCCCCAAGCGGTGGAAACCAACAGGCTAAAGAAAGACAGCCCTGATATACCCCAAGCCGAGCAGTAGAAAAGTCGAGAGGATTGCTTTCCGGTAACAGAATCTCCTCAAACTTTTTCTCAACGTTGTTGAATTTGATCACTGAATATGCTGGTGCATCTTTACCGCAGTTAACTTTATACACAGGCCAATGCAGAATCCCATTGAATGCCGCAGGAATCTGAAAATCTTTGGTGCGGCTGATGCTCATAGGCGGCATGTTGGTCAGGTCAACTGACCTCCAAAAATTGCTCTTCGAACTATATATCTCGACTATACGGAACATGAAAATCTTGACAACTTTATAATCATCGTTACGCTGGTCGAAGAAGAATCCCAAATCTGTGAAATGTTCAAGAGATTTGCTATTGGGAAGTGCCCTGCGTTGATGCAATAAGGGATTCCAGAGGTATATTTTCTTGGGACTGGAGCAATTGCAAATCTTGTGAACACATAGGATTCCATTGCAGCAACCTGCAAGAATGTAATCATCTGGAAGACAAAAGGGAGTTGTAAACAGGCTGATTTTCCTCAGTCTCTCAATCTCAAATAGGGCATAGTGACAGCTGCATGATTGTTTATGAGATTTCTTGCTGCAAACTAGAAGAGGAAGATTTTTGTTGGTTTTGGGAGATTTTTCCATGGATATGACCGAGTACTTATTGGAATCGAATAGACCTCTTTCCCAAAGCTTGCGGACTGCACTGAATCGGACTAGAGATTTCACAGGTAGTCTGCAAAAGATGTCGAGAATGGCACCGTTGGGACTGAATTTGACGTCTCCATCCTGAAAATTTGTAACTTTCTCTGAGAAATTTTAAGTTAACAATGGTCAAGAATATGTCTCTTTTAGGATTTGAAAAAAAATCAGCGAGCTAAAATGAATGAATTGATAAAAAAAATTTTGATCAATAAGATGTCACAGGTTACAGAAAGAAGGAGCTGAGGGAATAAATAGATGTACATATTAGAACTTACCAAATTCTATTTGGTTTAGGACAATGTTTCTGAAGATTAATCCTAATTGGTTTAGGACAATGTTTATAAAATTTAATCCTAGTTAGTTCAGAAGAAGCTTTCCTAAAAAGCTTACCATTGTTTGCCTGGGACAAGAAATCGTTGTTAAAAGAGAGGAGTATCAGATAGTGAGACGATTTAAGTATCAAGAAAATTTTTAAAAAAAAAAGTTTCAAGAAAATTAAAGAAATTTTTGACTGAAATTTCTTGTTCTGGGCTCTAATGTTGACAATCTTCTAACAAGAAAAAGGTCTACGCGGGACAATTTTAATAATTAGAAGTACCAAAATGTTTTCTACGACTTCGCAAGAAAAGTTGGGAAGAAGATTGTTTTGGCCAAAAACTCTGGAGATATATTCAATATAAGAAACTTCTTCCCAAAAAAAAAGGCATGAAAGAAAAAAGGAAACATCAGAATAATTATAACCTGAAGAACTACAACAATGAAGCTCAATGAGAACCGCCCTAATATTACCCTTCACGCTGACATTACAATCCCATTCCAAAAAATTCTGCAGTAATTTAGCTCCAAATCTCCTATACAAACCATAAATCATTGCAGCCATGATTCTATGATCTTTGAAGCCCTAAAAGCAACATTTGAGACAGTGACGAATCCCCCAGCTTCACCGGTGTCTACAAAGCCAAGTCACAAGAAGCAAGAAAATTGGTAGACTATCCACCTGGAGCACTCATCAAGTGATGCTAATGCATTTTTAACCACCACCATCAAATTGAGATTCTGAAGCATCAAAGATTGTTAATATACTTCACGTCACAAGTTGCTTTTATCCATCAGAAGACAGCAGAATTTCACAAAGGACTCGTACGAAGCAACAAACTGGGAGAAGTAGGAGGAAGGAATATTAGTACCAATTCTGTGGCAGTTTGAAGGAACAAAGAAAAGAAGTAGGGAAACTGAAGTAAAGAAGAAAATGTACCACCGAGACAGGAGAAAGTAGATGGATATACTTTGCAGGCCTGGAATACAATACATCAACCATATAAGGTACTTGTCTAGCAAAATATATGTCGAATAATAGCATGCCAAGTTTGTACAGAAACTTGGCATTAGCATGCATTTAATGTTTGGTGAAATATCCTGAGACTGAGAGATTGCCATTTTATAAGTTAGTATAAAAACCTTATACAGAAACATTGAATACTCTTTCAACCTTTGCTATTTCACAATGTAAGGTCAACTTGATATTTAGTACCAGACAACTAATGGGCTGATACAGAGCAATTGGTATAATTGCATTAACTAGGGAGGGCTAAGAATCAAGTCCTGATCAGGCACAGTTTTAGGCCATCATATGACTTGCTATTAAGTCATCCTCATGTGGCGTAAATAAATATATATACAGACTTGGATGGCTACATACACACAAATTACCTACAGTTATCATATTCAGAATATTTATACCAACCTCTTGTTATACCGCTTCATACAGATGTTTAACTTGTCCAAAAGCTCAGCCGCCTTGTAGTTCAGACAAAATGCAGGTTTTTTTTCTTTTTTTTGGGTAGGTACACAAAATGCAGGTTCCTTTTCTAATTTTCTCAATTTTCGCATTTTGTTTCGTATGGAGGAAAAAAATTACACACACGCATGCACACAAAAGAATGTTGATGCAATCACAATGAAAGTACCATAAAAATGAAACCCAAATCAAGAAACAGAAAAGGTGATAATAACTTCCGAACTGACACGTAACTTTTTATATGCAGCAGGAAAGAGAGAGTCGGGAAGTGTTCTATCAATTAGTCAACATAAGAGAAAGAAATTACCAATTAACTTGGGAGAAGACATTGTCAGGGGCCTCTCAACAATGGGTCTGATGCATTGTCCTCAGTAAGTCAAACGTTCTTTGGATGATATAGAAAGTACAAAAGAGGACAAACCAAATCACTGGTCCATTCCACCTATAACTTTGCAGCAGTCACCTGTTTTCTTGAATCGTTAGTATTGCTAGCTATCTTATGGCTTGCAGGTGAAGACCCAAAAGCTCCCAAAGCATCTAGGAAGAAGCTTTTATTTGGGATGATTCCATCTTTGTCCATGTACAACATCAATTTTTTTACCAGCTCCTTCATGTTTGCTTTAGTGTAGGCCTTGTACAAAAGCTTATAGGTTGAACCATCAATAGAAAATGTTCTAGAGGCATGTATACTCTCAAAAAGTGTGTCTGCTTCTAATGGCAAACCATTCATGCAGTAGACATCCAGCATTGCATTGAGTGTTGAAACCTTCTTCTCCTTCCCAGATTCTCTCACCTTATCAAATATCTCTCTTGCTTTGAAAACGCAGTCGCAATAGCCATACATCATAATAACACATTCATAAGTGATGAAATTTGGGGAATATCCCATGTCAGTGATCTTCTGAAAAATCAACTCTGCCTTGTCCCTCAGCCTTGCTTTTCCATAGTTTGTGATCATTGAATTAAATGTGGGAAGTGTTGGTTTCTCCTTGGAATGTAACAAGCTCTTAAAAACTTGTTCCATCTTTTCAAATTCTTGCTTTCTTCCATATGAATCAATCAACAAATTAAAAGTAATTATATCAGGTCTCAGCTGGTTACTCTTCATTCGTGATAGAACAGATTCCATTTCCCTAATCATCCCATTTTTCCCATATGCATCCATCACTCCATTAAACGTGAAGATATCAGGTGTAACAATGCCCTCATCAAGATCTTTGAACAATGCGTTAACTTGATCAACATCCCGTGCCTGAGCAAATGCTCTCAAAAGGATGTTATACGTTACTACATTAGGTGGACACCGTTCCATTCCCTTCATCTTACCAAAGTATCCTAAAGCCTTAGCCAAGGCCTTGGCTTTATCACGACTATGAAGGTGGGCCGTGATCAGTGCATTATACACTGAGGTGTCAGGTTTACATCCACTATTACGCATCTCAGAGAAAAGCCACATAGCTATCCTCGTTTGTCCCTTCTTCCCCATAACAGATATCAACTTCGAATAAACACCATTATCTGCTATATACCACCGTTGCTTTTGCATCCATCTGAACACCTAAACATTCATTATATGTAAGTATAACCAAGACCTCGTCCTTGATATTAACAACAGTACTACATCACCACTGCCTTGCCTTCATTCAAGCAAATAATTTACAGTCACTTGCCAGTAGCAAAACTGACAATAAACATTATTCAAAATTTGATTTCTAGACATGAAACAAAATACTTATTTTTTGAACCTACAGCCAATGCACATGAAGACAAACACTTACTTTTCATTTCTCACTATTTTGAAACAGTCTAATCTGCACTAAGGGATACAAAAACGACCCTAATCTTTAACATAGTAAACGGCATAATTTTGATTAAATTCGCAAAGAAAATGAAATCCATAGTGCATTGCACAGTCATTAGCTCAGAGGCACAACACATCCATAAGAAATGGATAAAAATTCAACGAACATATAAAAGAACCCAATAGAACCCATACAATTAATTAAGAACCGCAATAACGAATTGAGAAAAAGCCCAGAATTCAAGAAAAGGGTTCAAACCTCCAGACACTGAAGCCACTTATCAGTCTTGCCAAGCTCTTCAAAAAGCAAGAAACAATGCTCAGTTCTCACAAGCTTCACATACTTGTTCAAAGTGGCCACCAAAGGCTGCTTCTTTTCATCAAAATTCCTCATTAATAGACCAACCAGTTCCTCTGCTTCTGAAATGGCCCTCTTGGTCTTTGTTCTCTTCTTCTTTGGCCTTGTGGGCACATTGCTGATGATGCAATAAATGGGTTTTTTTCTGGCAATACATGGTTGAGAGACACTAATGAAATTCTGGGAAGAATTGGGGTAAAATTTTTGGAGAAGAAATGCTGGTTTTGATGGAGAGAATTGCAGAGTTGCTGGGAAGTTTGATGGAGTCATATTTTCTTTCGCTGGGGGCAGTGGACTGTGGAGTTTGGGATTCGGCTTAGCTTGTGTGAAGACTGAAGAAGATGTTGTCTGGAATGACGAGAATGCCCATGCAGTAAGGAATGAGGGGCAAAAATGAAGGACCCGTATTGGATCGGGGTTTTGAACCCGACGTGAATCGAACACGCAACCTTCTGATCTGGAGTCAGACGCGCTACCATTGCGCCACGGATCCACTTGTTGTGATATCGGTATATTTTACAATTATTTTGAACCTCTGTGTAAGTGAAGTTTACTTTCTAAATTACCACACGCAAGTTTAATTGGGCATGAGAAGGTTGTCGAAATCTTTGTTGTTATATATAATAAGATTTTAACTTGACAAAAATGTAGGCAGCCAATTAGATATAGATATTGTAAATCATCCAATCATCTATGTCCAATCTCTTTGGAATTCTCCTCCAACTTTTATTAATCATTTGATGTTGGATGATTTTTAACAATCTTAATGAGTATTAACAAAGTTTAATAATTTAATTACTGATAATTGATCGATGTAAACCCTTACATTTTTGTTTGCTGTCTAAGTGACCAATCTATATACACCATTATTAGTTTTTGTTTACCCCTTAAAAACACCCTTTTCTAGATATGCAACTTCTTGCCCAACTAGTCATTCATTTCATTTCAAGATAATGAACACATTACTAGGATATGCCAAATAACCTCATATGTAAGTACATATTAGTGGTTCAGGCATACCCCACCCACTGTCGTGTTCTTTTCTTTGAGCTTCTAGACGAAAGTACGAATTTATCCCTTTACCTGCTTCATATCTTAGATCATTATATTTTTCTTCCATTCCTAAGCAAACTGAGTATGAATTCAATCAAATTGAAATCACTGTGGAGAGTAGCTTGCAGTTGACTTTTAGATCTTCAATTGCTTCACAGTAGAAAATCAAATGTGCAAGTTGGTGTCCTTGACCATAACACTATTTGAAAGAGCCACTACAGCTTTTTTTTTTTGTTGCCCGCCCGGTATTCGAAGCTTTGCCCCGACTAATCCGGATCCGACCCGCGTCGCGCACCTGGCTATGGTGGGTGAGTCTCCCAACAGGGGTGTCTGCGTACACTAGGACTCGAACACGAGACCTGTTTAAGCGAATCCGAACCGCTTACCACTCGTACCAACCCCTGTTGGTAGCCACTACAGCTTTCCTTGACTAATAAAGGGGAAAAAAACACGATTGATTTCTTTATCTATGCAATCAATAAAGACATATATAATGACGTAATCCACAAAAAAAATGAGAGAAATAACAAACTATGTAACATGTAACTAGAAAAAAATATGATTGATTTCTTTATTTGTGTAATCAGTAGAGCCATATGTAATGATGTAATCTATAGAAAATGAGAGAAATGGCAAATTATGTAACATATAACTAACTCAGTCTAGCTGAATTTGCCATTAAGTAAGGATTTAAAACTATCATTAAGTATAGGTCAAGAGATCAAATTTTTTGACTTGCGTTATTCTCCCAATTTCCTGAAAGTTTCATAATGGGTGCATCGGCATTTGTTTGATCTGTTGACGATTCAATCCCTTAAGATTTTTCGTTGATCTCTTTAGGTTTGACCATTTCCTGTACCTAGAATAAGA